TAGATGGGTGCCTCCGCCCCGCCCCGCCCCCCACGCGTGTGTCCCCCACACCCCGCGGGAGCCAGGCACCCCCGGCCTCCTGGGAGCCCCCAGTGGACAGAGCCCCACGCAGGGTGACAGCCTCCCACGCCCCTGCGCCACATCCCAGAACGCCCCTGGCAACTGCGGGCCCTGCCCTGCTGCGGCGCGGGCCGCGCGTGGACGGCGGACTTGGGCCGTGGGTTGCTGTGGGAATCTGCGGGGACTTGGCCGGACCCCGCATCCTGATTGTCGGGCGTCCCGGGCACCTGCCGCAGCCCCCAGGCAGGGCCCCACAAGCACCGCCTCGGCCCCCGGAGACGCTCCCCCAGGACAGACGTAGGCAGGAGTGGGTGTCTCTCCACTTTATTTGCTGCCGCAGCCCCCCACACCCTGCCTGCCGGAGGGGCAGGGCCCGCAGAACCCAGTGTCCGGGGAGCAGGCGGGCACTTAGGCGGGGCAGGCGAAGAAGACTGCGGCGGTGTTCTGGGGGGGCGCGGGCTGGGAGGCGCCAACCAGGCTAGTGGCTGTGGGGTAGTGGTGGAAGACAGCATCGTGGAACAGGTACACGCCCTTGTCCGTGCACGTGGCACTGTCCACGTGTTCGTGTGGGATGGGCCCCGCTGGCTCAGGCACCCGCAGGCTCTTGGCCAGGTCCACCTGCTGCATGCTGCTGCCTGCGGGCAGAGGGGTCGTCAGAGTGGCCTGCCCCCCGCGCCGCGCCACACCACGCCGCCTGGCTGCTCCTGGCACAGCACGGCATGGCATGGCATGGCACGGCACGCTGCGGCCCCAGCCCGGCCCGCCTGGGCAGTCGTGGGCGAGGGCCTGCAGCAAGAGAACCCAGGCACCCGGGCCCAACCCCTGCCCAGACCCTGCTCCCTTCTCAGAGCTCAGATAGGACCCAGGGGTCCGGGTTCCCATGCCGCCACCCCATGCTCTCACCCTCCCAGCCCTCATGCCCCTCCCTCGTGCACCTCGGATGATGTAGAGCAGCGTGGAGCCAGGGCAGATGAAGGCGGCGTCGGCACCTGGGATCCCCAGCTCCTCCTGCAGCCCTTTGGGGTAGCCCTGCACCGGCGCGTGGCTCCGGTCCTCCCGGTAGATGGACACCTGGACGCCCTGCATGGACAGAGATGTGCCACACTGGCGGGATGGGCGGACGGCCTGCAGGCGCGGGCACCCAGCCCCCCTGCCCGGGTACAGCCCCCGGAGGCTGGCACCGCACCGGCCTTACCTGGATGAAGTACGTTAAGTTCTCCCAGGTGAAGGCAGCGTCCACCTTACCCTCCAGCCCGGCCCACGTGTGCTTGGTGGGCCACGCGTGCCACCCATCCCGCTGGGAGTCCAGGCGGAAGTAGTAGCCCTCTGTGGGAACACGTGTGGCTCCAGGGACAGCTGGGGTGCAACCCCTGTGCCCCGGGACGGGGTCTGCTGCAGCCCCCTGCCCCCTGTCCCCAGCCCCACTCACGGCGGAAGGCGTAGAGCCGGCCCTCGTCGTTGGAGGTGAAGGCCTCCAGGGGCAGCCCACTGCAGCGGTCCATGAGGGCGTAGAGCGTGGCGTTTTGGTGCGCCACATGCTCGTGACCTGCAGGCAGACGGTGTCAGCAGGGTCCCCGCGGGGGTGGGTGGCAGGGCAGGACCCAGAGATGGCAGGGTGCCATGGGGAGCAGGGCATTGGGGAGCGCTGGGAGCTGGGGGGGGTCTCACTGCCACTGGGTGAGAAGCAGCTGTGGGGGTACCAGGGCCCCGAGTGCCGCCGTGGAGGTGTGCTTTGGGGTTGGGCCCAGGCGGGTGGTTTGGGGGTACTGGGGGTCCCCAAGGAGCGTGATTTGGGGAGCCAGGCCTGGGGGGCTGTGGTATGGAGACACTGGTGGAGCCGTGGTGCAGGGGGGCTGGGGAGCTTGGGCGTTGGGGACACCGGGGGATCCGCAGCGCGGGGGGCCAGGGCCAGGCCTGGGGGCACAGGCCTCACCTCTGCCGGGGCAGCAGATGAAGTAGTCGCGGGCGTCGAGGGGGTAGTGGGCGGGCACGTCGCCAGTCAGCGGGTGGAAGCGCAGGAAGCGCAGGCCGTGGAAGCAGTAGTAGCGCTCCAGCCAGCGCAGCGTTGCCGAGCAGTTGCCCACCTGCGTCCATGCCCGCTGCTTCAGCTGCCCCGTG